ACGATCAAGCAGAGAGTAGTTATGCCATCTCCATGGAGTTTTTTCTTCGTCTATTTCTTTCCTTCTAAATCTTCCCATTCCTACAGGATCTACTTAGTCACAAGACACCAGAGCACATTTTTCTCCCTTCTTTAATCCCTAATAACAATTAAACTCTACACTACTAATTTTGATAGTTAATACATTTTTTGTTTTCTTTCTTTTAACCATTGGTGGGGTTTCTAAATCCCTCTGGTCTCCCAATTAGACTACATCTTAGAAAGCAAGAATTGTATCTTAAACTTCTCTACTTGTTTCTCCCCACAGATGTCCATTTCATTGGTGCAGTCTGGAGACACACTGAAGTATTAGAACATTAGAAAGTATCAGTTGAATACTTGATGGTTAAAAAAAAAAAATGCGGGGGGATAGAGAACCTCAAGAGTGGGAATGGCTTTTTATTCAGTTGTTCACCAGTCCTAGAACGTATTCCACATTTGACCTCTTCTTTCTTTTCCCACATCCTATTTTAGGCTTTTTACTTTTGACATCTGAATTGTTTAATAGCTTTGTAAATATTTCCTGTCTCTCTCTCTCCCTAGTAATCTCATCTTAATGTAAAGTAAAAATCTAACCTTGTGAGATGCAAGTCAAGTTAGTCTTATTAGAGCACTCCTTCCAAAGTGGTCTCTTCCTCCTTGGCATCTATTCTCCTTTTCTGGAACATCTTATTCAGAACTTAGCTAAATACGATAATTCTTGCATTTTCCCACATATTGTATTTTGATTCTTGACTTTTTAAACTTATTTCTGTGCCCAGATTGTAAGTCTAGTGTGTTCTTTCTATATAATACGTGTTTTAAATATTTGTTGATTAGATATGCTAACTGGATTGGAATAAAATGAGGATCGGACCTTGTATAGAATATAAAGGACATCTTTCGGCATACTCTGGTAGCAAATAAACTCCAGTTTATCCTCAACTGCAACTGTGATTTATCTGGAACAATCTTTAGGCAAGGGCAAGCAAGATGATGTTAGCTTTGGTGAATTAATGTTATGAGAAGAGAAGGTCTATTTGCATTGAGAGAGAAAATTTTACTACGTAACTGTAATTAGGGACAAATCAGAGGTTAATGATGCATTATATTCTAGAGCTTAACTGGTAAGTACTAAGAAATGACTTTCTCAACTTTAAATGGTTTGCAACATATTATTTCTGTACTTTGCTCCATGCACAGAAAATAATGAAAACTGGGCTTATTATTCAGACATTTAAATATTTATTCTAAAATGTGGATTGTTGAGTTATAGGAATATTTCATATACTCCAAAAGAGCATAAAATCCATCTCTACTAATTAATTTCTCTATGAAAGCCTTTCAGACACTTACGGGTAATACCAGTGGTCAATGCTTTAGGTGCATTTCATTAAAGGTATATAGTGCAGCTACCGGATGAATTGCTTTATATAAAAGCACTTACCACAAAGCCCTATAATGGAAGGTTAAGTGCTATACTTAATTACTAATTTCAACCCTTATTACCTATATTTTGCAGTCCAGACACTTTAAAAGGAACCAAATATAGTCTGTTGGTTCCTGCTTCTCTGATTATAGGATTTGATGCTGAAAGCATTAGTCCAGCTGCTTTTCTAATGAATAATAACAACAAAAATTAAATAAAAATAGTCATACCATAAACCCATGTGTGAGGGAGAGATACACTAGACGTTGTTCCTGAACTCATATGTAAAACCACTTTGTTCTAAAAACTTTAATCTAGATGACACATAGTTTTAAATTTGTATTCAGCTTTTATGGTACTGTCATAGATGAACCTCCAAGAGAAAATGGTATTTGAAATTTTCATGGCTTATTTCCTACCTCAGCATCATACTGAAATGCACACAGAGTGGATAATTAATAAAATATTCGATGACAACAAATGGTGAATCCTCTGAGTTCTTTACATATTGATCATTAACTTTTTATACGTATGTATCAAAATTCTTCACATGCGCTCTGATGTTCTTGATGGCAGACTTGCTGTGGTACCCTTCCTTGTATCCTTCAGAATAATAGCAATTCTGCTTGTTCTTCATTTATTAATATTATCTAAAGTACTCCTTGGTAAAGGGGGCCCTTAGAATCTTCACCTAAATACAAAAGATTGTGTCTAAAGTAACTATTTCTAAAGTTTACTTGCTAATTATTATGACATTGCTAGCTTCTGACTTTTAAATATATTTTGTATTGTGTATCTTATTCTGAACATCCATTTAACTGGTAACTAAAACATTGTACATGTTAAACACATACTAGTCTAGAAAAATACACAAGTATTTTTTAAATTAATGTATAAGTACTGCCCCAATCTCAGCTACCAGTATTCAAATTAGACATTAGCATGCCACAAGAAGACAGGGGAATGTCGTTTTTGATGAGCTATATCTAGAATATGATATCTAGTTGTTCACAATTAAAGGCTGGTTAAATAGATAAAATATATTAAAATAGTGGAATAACAACCAAAATCAAACTCATTGCTATCTAGTCAAATTTCAACTCATAGAGACCCTATAGGACAGAGTAGAACCGCCCTGTAGGGTTTCCAAGGCTGTAAATCTTTATGGAAGCCGACTGCCACATCTTTCTCCCGCGGAGTGGCTGGTGGGTTTGAACCGCTGACCTTTTGGTTAGCAGCCAAGTGCTTAACCACTCTCCCACCAATTTTAAAAAACATTAGGAAATATTTACCCAAATGCGTTGGTGCATTAGGAAGCTAAGTTCTGATCATCCACGCTTGGGAAATACAGACTGTATTTCTCTTTTAAAGATGCACTATGCATTATAATTAAGTTCAAAGATTTAAAATAAAAAAAAACTGTTGCTGTTTAGTTGATTCCAACTAATAGTGACCCTATAGAACACATTAGAAATGCCCCATAGGGTTTCCCAGGAGCAGCTGGTGGATTTGAACTGCCGACCTTTTGGTTAGCAGCCGAATGCTTAACCACTGCACCACCAGGGCTCCTTGGTATAACTCAGAATTTCCCAAACTAACCTGAGCATAGAAATCCACTCCACCTCCCCTATAGGTCACCATCAACTTCTTCTAGAACATAGTTCTTAAAGATACTAGATTGGAAAGTGCTGTTAAGAGTACAGAATTACTAAACTAAGCTAGTTTTAAAGAATTAGCTGTTGAAACAAAGTGAGGCTTCGAGAAACAACTGCCACGTTGTAATATTACTGGGATTTATCATTTTACATGTCCAGGTCTGCTATCCACTGATGTCGACATCCCAGGGGCAGGGCCCAGACCTTACCCTGCTTTATATGTTTCATAGCATCCAGGGTAATGACTTCCTCTCAGTAAACAGGTATTGATTAGTCTATACTTCAGGAAATTTACTTTTCTGTAATCCACTGAGGTTTTAGTTTTTATAAAAAATGCATCGCCACTAGGATTTCACTGAATGCAACAAGGTATTAACAGGGGCTACATAACATGGCATCCATGTATTAAGATACTTTCTTTCCAAAATTTCCATTCCTCTTCTTATTACAGATGGTAACAGATTGTGTATGCTCACAAAATTGTAGTGTAAGATTGTGATAAATCCCAGGACATAGATTTAGCAAATATGTATTGAGTGCCTACTATTTGCCAGTATTATAATAGGCACTGGACATATTATTAATTTGCTTGCTTCTGAATTTTGTCATAGAGCAGTTTATGTATTGATTTATCTTTTATTGCAATTAATTCAGAAATATTTGCAGAACACCAGGATTATAAAATAGATTTTGAACTGTGGTTTGAAGAGGTGGAATTTTATAAATCAGGGAAGGTTCAGAAGGGCATCAGAGGCCTTTGATTCCGTAATTGTGAGTCAGTACAACGGAAAAGTGGTATTTGTTTCATAAACTAGTTATTTTGTCAAATTATTTCTTCTAAGGAATAAAAAAGAATTCTAATAGAGGCATATATATATACACACACACATACATATATGTATTTGTATATACATTTTAGTAATCATTTTTAGTGTGCAAAATGAATGATGATTTTTATGCTTTTTCTTTATGCTGTGCTATAGACCTACTGCTTTAAAAACACTGAGGCATCTAAAAAGGGAGCAAAGAAAAATGAAAGAGAAGTTTTCTGCGAGGTATTCAGAAATAAAATATAGAGAGGATAAATGATTGCAGAAAAATACCTTTACATTTCAAATTTGTATTTTACTTAAAAATGACATCAGTTTTTAATTAGGAATATATGCAACCACAGATGACACTGGTTTATATTTCTGATCTCTTGCTTTTGTTGAATAACGTAGCACTGACAAAGCTCACTAAAAAGATCGTTTTTATTTTACCGCTAAATGGCTTACTGTTCATTTATATAGACTTGAAATGAGTAACAGTAGTGTTATAGAATCCTTGTGAAACTCTATGGTATTATGACCGCGAAAGCAAACTCTATTGAATTTCCATACATGTTCTTATAACTACTGATTGAAGCCACTGTAGTTCCTTTACTGTTTCTCTGCTTGTCCCAGGTTCCTCTTGCACATTTCATTAGTCTCAGCTGTGCATCACCATCAAAGGAAATCCTATCTTCTCTCAGAGAAAAGCTTTATAATATTCCCACCCTTGGCTCTAAATTTTAACTTTGTTACTTTTGACAAAGCCTTTCCTTTGTTCAAATGCAAGGATCCAGTAAAAAGAGCTTTGACATGTTGTGCCTTTTATGTGTCTATTTTTCCGCCTTCATTGACGTCCTGAATTTTGCAAATGGTAACGTGTGCCTTCCAGTTCTCCTATAAAATGCCATTTATACGCTGTATCAAGAACATTTTAGGACAGCATTACATTCACATGACTCTAAAGTCCAATAACTACTTGATGGTTTCTCAGAAAAACCACAATTTGGTGAAACGGATGCAAAACAGTGCTTTGTTTTCCAGCTTGTCTTTCATACAATCTTCCCCGGATACATATCCACTGGCTTACCTGCAGGGTAGCGCTCGATCACTGGCCAGCTGTCCACCTGCAATGTGGCATTGCCGCCACTCCTTGTGAAACGCACTACATGGTATTTCCCATCATTGATGATTGCATTGGACTCTTCAATGGCGATGTCATCTGTCCCAACATTAAATTTAACTCCAATTTTTCCTTGGTGCTGAAAGGGAGGAGGAAAAAAGCGAGTTGTGCTAAACTGTACTAATGAATCAACATGTAATAAGAATTACATACAGGGCTCAAGAGCACGCTTCCACAACAGTTGTTTTCCTCCCATTTTACTTCTGAAAAACTGTGTGTAATAGAAGCAAGGTTCTTAACATTTGGGGAAATCTCAGGCATCTCTTTCATGGATAATTGATATTCGAAAAGACACAGTTTCAAGGGAACTGTGCTGCCTTCTTCCCAGAGGTTGCCCCAGAGAAGGGGCACAGCTGCCCGCGTGAAAGGACATGTTTCATGCCCTTTAACATAGCTCCTTTAATCCACTCTTCCCACTCACAAGAAAAATGAAGCTTGAAATTCTCCCTTTCAATAACTGGTGAAATCAGAGCAATGGCATCTGCTTAGAGCTAACTGACAAATGCTTACAATAGATAAAATCATTCTAAAGGGTTTGAGCATACCGACAGGCATTTAATGAGGGCAGTTTCTTAGTCATTATTCACAAAACCATCGAATGCAACACTAAGAGCCTGAAATATTCAATGTCGTCATTTTACAGATGATGAAACTATGTGACAGGAAGGTGCAATGACTTGTTCAAGGTCACATAACTTCCTAGCAGTGTGCTAGAACTGTATAGTTCAGCTCCCCCACATGCAATGCTAAGAAGAAGCCAAGATGTGGTTTATGTCTAAGCTATGTATAAGCTAAGAAGAAGCCAAGATGTGGTTATCAGAAAATTAAGCCCCTCTCTAAGTTAGGCCGAGCAGTGTGATAAATCATTCTAAGTGCAAAGTCGTTGCTGTTAACCTTAGAATTTCATAATACAAGGCAGCAAAGGGAAACACGTGCTTATGTCCTCTGGCTCTGAGGAGCATTCTCGAACAGCAGGACTGTCAACTCTACCACGAGCTCAGTGGATTCTGAAAGCATGTGGATGTGCCCTTAATCAGTAGCCCAGAATACTTGCACTGCAGGCCCTTGTCAGAGTACATAACCTCAAACTGTCTGCTGCTCACCTTTCATCAAATCTCAGTCGGGAGGAAGGACATAAGGGGAGGGAGGCTTCAAGGATATACAGTCTACCCATTCCTGTAGAAATGTTAAATAAGAATATCAGAAACCTGAAGGTTTGGACCACATTCTTTGACCTTTTGCTGGATTTTCATGATTCAACTAGACAGCAAGGGTATGACATCAGCTTCCACTGCGCGTTCTTATAAGAAAGTCTTTCATAAAATGCACAATTAAAGGGAAGTGTTTACTACATTGCTCAGTGCCCACTTTCTGTAGACACCCTAAGGTTCTTTTTTTAGTTTTTTTTCCCCTGGGTTTTGATTACTACTGAAAAATCAGCCCCTGAAAACCCTATGGAGAACAGTTCTCCTCTGACACACATGGGGTCATCATGAGTTGGAATCAACTTGACAGCAACTGCTTGGTATTGTCCAGAAAAATCTCTCTTCCTTATAAGAAGTTTGTATGGTTTTTAAATTTTTGTTTTGATTTGTTTTGGGCTTGATGGAAAATGTGACTTAAAAAAAAAAATCATACGTCCTTGTTGACTTTGGTTGTTAAGAAATTCAGAATCAAATTGGTAAAGCAAATTTAACAGTTGCATACACTTTAGACATACTATCTTCCCCTGAACTTATTTTTATTTTCTACCATACTTCTCATGATCCTGACTTTTAAACACATATCCTTGTAAGGGATTTCAGTTTTCTGTAGAATGATTCAGGTGATTAAAAAAACAGCTAAACTTTAATAAATCTGAAATTTTACCCAGGAGTCTGTAGGGACATTTATTAGATTTTTTTTTTTTTAAATCACAGGTCTTTTTTGTGAATTCTCATTATTTCCTCATTTTGGTAGAATTCTTCCTGTTTTCTCATTTTCCATAGATTATTTAACATAGTATATATCCTTCTAACACACGTGTAATATAACTCCACAGGAAATGATTAAGGATCTCATTTAAGAGCCATGATAATGGCTTTTTATTTAACAAACACCTATATGGTGTTCTAAGCACTTTACAAATACTAACTCTGGTATTGCTCATAACAGCCTGTGAGGGAGGTACTATTTTACCTCCATTTTAAAGGTGAGGAAACTGAGGTACGGAGTAGCTAATTAACTTCAATAAGGTTACAGAGTTAGAAAGAGAAAAGCTGTGATTTGAACCCAGGTGGTCTGGATCTAGAGTCTGTACTCTTAACTATTACACTAGGCTAAGATTTAGGAAGATTGGGTCATCCTAAATCTGCAGGAGCCGAATTTGGTACACCTGGCTATTCTTTGCTACCTGTTTTGTTTTTTTCTGCTAGAGTAGGAGCCTCACGTGGCCTTCTCTTGTGCTTTAGACATAGTGGATCCCTATCAACCAATGTGTGCGTAAAACAAATTTATAATAGACAGTAAGCAACTGAGATGTAAATGCAATCGGATATTAAAATGAACTCTTGTTGTCTCAGATTCATCTGAGGTCTTATGACCCATACCTGCCGAGTCAATTTCGACTCACAGTGACCCTAGACGACAGGGTAGAACTGCCCCCACAGGGTTTCCAAAAAGCGGCCTGTGGATTTGAACTGCCAACTTTTAGGTTAGCAGCTAACCTCTCAACCATTGTGCCACCAGGGCTCTGAGATCTTAAGACAGTAGGCAAAAAGTAGATTGATACTTCCACATGATACAGTGAGGTACAAGATTACCTAAGCCAGACTTGCAAAGGGAGCATAGAGAACTGCTTTGGGACCTGAATTAATTACCCATCTCTAATCATCAAAGAGGCAGGAAAGATCAAGAGAAGACTGATAACTTAAAGAGAATATTTGGAGAGAGCTGAGATGTACTGTGATTCGCCCATACCTCCAAGATGGAAGGTTTCTCTCTCACTATCTCGAGTAAAGGGGAATGGCCCTCCATGGATGTCTCATGGAACCTGATGTAGTGGCTGGGGTAGTCAGCGAACTGGGGGTTGACTCTTGTCTGAGAAATCTCCAAGGGGAGAGACTGTGGCTGGCTGATGCAGTGATGGCAGACCAAAGAGATACTGCCGCACCAGAGTCCACTTGTGTGACCAGAGGTTGTTAGGACAAATAATGTGAACATTACATATGGACCATGCCTTAGAGAGCTAGCACAGAATTGCGTTATATCCTGTTCAAGAGGGCCACTGGGAGTGTGAGTAGGGGGCAAATAAAATTTAGCGGAAAGAAGCTAGAGTGGCAGCGATGCATGCCCAGGAGTGGAGTCAGGAATCCTCAATGATCATCTGGAGGAGGTGCATTTTCCCACTTCAAGGGAATTGCAGGTGAAGAGACCCCAATGACATAGGAAGACCACTTAAAACAAACAAACAAAAAAAAAACACCAAACCCCGTTGCTGTCAAGTTGATTCTGACTCATAGAGACCCTACAAGACAGAGTAGACCTGGCCCATGGGATTTCCAAAGAGCGGCTGGTGGATTTGAACTGCTGACATTTTGGTTAGCAGCCGAGCTCTTAACCACTGCACCACCAAGACTCTGACCACTTAAGAACTCACCAAAGTGTCCACAAAAATGCCCCTCAAGCATTAGTTTTTAGCACAAGCTTAGCCCAGCTAAATGGCTACTGTAGTATAAGTCAGTTTGGTTTTCCTGCCTTTATTTTCTCTTTCTGCTTCGTGCCTGGAGGAATCAAGGAAGATGAGAAGTGAAGGTCATGGAAATAAGAGAAGAAAAGACCACGACCTCACTCCTAGTGCAAGGGGTGGCTCCAAGGCAGCCCCAAGCAGAGGTGAGGGTGGCTTTAAATTTAACTGAAGTTGTATGTTTTTATTACTACAGAGGCGTGAACTGAGAGTACTTTTGGGTTTAAAAGTGAACAGATAACTGGTTTTTTTTTTAACTATTCAAGAGTGACCAAAGTAGTGTTGGAACCTACCCTGGACTTCCCTGGAGGTCATGAAAAAAATATTCCCACAGAGCAGGTTTAAACTCCTGTTATATCCTAGGAATCAACTCCTTCAACATAACAGGTGCATGAAGATATTTGTCGCACTACAGTTACCCCTTGGTTTATCTCTTCTTTTATAAACATGTTCCTTATCCCAGGATGGCTGAGAAAAATTCCTGAAGTTTCCTACCTAATTGATTCTGTTGACAGGAAGGCTACCGTAGTCTTTTTCCATCATAGCTCTAACTGTTAAGAAGGTTCAAGTTCTCTGAATAGAAGAGTTGTAATGCTAAAGGGAGAAAATGCACTGAAATCTGAAATCAGTACCTTTACTTTATCCTTAAATCTTTCTGCAACATGAAATGCATAACACCTATTTTCTAGAGATGGACAAAACTCTACATTTTGTAGGGCTGATTTCTTGCAACACACTATAACACGCAACAAAGAAATGATGAGGGCAGGTGATGCTTGGAGAGATGCTGACTTTTAAATGATCTTTCCCAAGATAAGATGATTTGGATACCCCTAAAGTAGGTTTAAACAACAGACACTGCCTATTTCAAGGCACCAAGGACATGAACAAATGATTAAAGCATAAATGATAGCCAAGGGTGTATTTTTTTTCCTGAAAATAAATAAAAATGAATATAAACCACAAAAAAACTGATAATTAATATCAAGCGTATTTACCAGGCCAGATATTGGTGATTCCCTTCAGAATCTGTGAATATTCCCAAAACACCCCCTCCCATGTTGACAGCATAGCAAATCATTCCAATTATATAAACAATAAAACTTGCTAAACTTTCTTGCCAACAGATAATTACACTTTAAAAGAATTCATTTCATATTATTATTCTCTGGGATTAAATGTGATTGTCTCCAGCAAATTCTCATGAATATTGTATTAGCAAAACCAGAAGTAATTTCACTGGACATGTAGGGATCTCTCTGCATTGTATCTTTCTTGAAATGGATAACTGGCTCACACCATAATTTCAAAAATCTATTATGAGAATATCAGTAACGAGACATTTATAATTTAAT